TTTTAATACTTAAGTACAAAAAATATCAGATACTTTAAGACTATAACTCATTTGATTTTCCTAAAGTAGACTTTAACTTTTATCAAAGTAATTTTTTGGAAAGATACTTGTACTTTTACTCAAGTATCACTTTGTGGTACTTTATACTACACTGGAACCTAACATGATGTTTTTGTTATGTGGGAGGAAACCACCTGGATAAAACCCACGAGTGCACGTGGCAAACATTTAAGCTCCACCCAGGAAGACCCCAGGTCGGGAGGCAAACCCGTGACCTGACAAGCGACAGATCAAACCAGTGTTTCTGATTTTGACATTTCAAAAATTCAAAACAAAATAAAAATAACCTCGACATGATGGTTTTTTTTTTTTTAAATTCTGCCTTAATTTGGCAATTTGACCTCCCATGAAACTTTAATGTGGATCACATGATACGGTTACATCCTCCTGTGAAACAGGAAAGCCGCGTTCAACATGCTCGTTTCACACCAACATTAAATGTTTCTTAGCCCTGCAGCTATTTTTACCCTCACGAGAGAGAGAGAGATCTGTCCTGTTGGACTGGAGATAATACAGCGGCACTCCCTCAGGTGCAGTCAGCGCAGTCATTAAATATAAACAATGGAAAAAAAATGGTCCTGTAGGACAGGAAAGATGGCTGCTCCCTCCTTAACAGCTAACACAAAAGTTAAGCAAGCGAGCTGTGGGTTATTTGAGCAGCTAACAGCACCAGGCTGCAGTCCAGCCCAGAGTAAACACACAGCTCGGACCGACACGTGTGCTGCTGTCAAAGATTAAAAAAGGCAGATAAATGCTCTGGTGCTGAACTCAGATCACTCTCAGTTTAGAGGAAAGCGTGGAGAAATAAGAAAATACTAAAACAAAAATGATCTGCTAAAATAGAAATATGTGACGAGGAGTTTTGGAGGAAAAGGCTGCAAACAAACCTGTGCTTCTCTTCTGTGTTCTCCTCTATTGCTGCTTTTTTGGCTTCTGGCTCTTCGTCTTCCTGCTCTCTGCCCTGTAAAAACACCACAGTGGTGCAGATAAATGTATTTTTATTTGGTAGCTGTGTTCTACACAAAAACCAACACTGCCTTGTATAATAAAAATGACATTAATGTAATCAAAAAGCACCTTAAGATTACATTTATGTTTTTGATGCTTGTTTTCTTTATTAAAAAGATAAAAATTATGTCATCTGATTATAAACCTTTTTTTTCTCATTCAAGATAAGCTCTGCGTCATTTTACAGCTCGTACTCGACATATGTGGACCAGCATTTGCATAGAAAAAACAAAGTAACATGCTTCTTGTGTTGTCTCCTCATTTAAAAGTCAAATAAATTTACATTTTGAACATTATTACCTCTGGTACCAACATTTTTTTTTAATCTGTCAATTATTGATGTGAAGATTTCACAAAAAAAGAAAAAAGAAAAGAAAAGAAATGGGAAAATATTATCTGTGCTTTCTGTAACTTGAACTCGCTGTAAAAACAAATTAGCTAAAGTGTTGCAGGCACAACAATGTTGCTCAGACTGTGACCTTCTCCAAGCTATCTCCATGTAAACAGTGAGGCAAATAATTTATAAGGCCCAGTGGCAGAAATTAAAACACACACACACACACACACACACACACACACACATATATATATATATATATTAATGATGTCATCATGATGGTTTAGTTAAAGCAGCTTTAACTTGTTTGT